GGTAAATCTGCAGCATTAAAAGCATCAGCCTTAAAAATATTTAAGTTTCCCAATAAATGATAAGATGCACATGTAGAAAATGTAGGAAGAGAATTATAATTACAGCTTTATTTAAAAATAAATATCTTTGATACCGAGCACATGTAACATTATTAATACTGAAAGTCCATTTTATTTAAATAAACCTACAAACATGATCAAAATCAACATAAAACCAAGATAAAATTGTAAAAACAAATCATAAAAGACATTAATGAAACGTTTTATGAACAGAACATAAAAGGATGAAATGATCAGAGTAGTCAGGCTGGTTGGAACTGGTTGGTTTTCAGGTGGGATTTAAAAATATGAGAGGGAGACTCGGAGTCACAGGTGCCAGGTGGAAAGGAATTCAAAAGGAGGGGGCAGAGTGGCTGAAAGCTTGGACCCCCATGGTGATCAGACGGACTCAGGGAACAGCAAGATGAATGGAGGACCTAAGAGTAGGGGTGGGTGTGGTAATTTGCAAAAGATCCAAAAAAATACTGAGAAGTGAAACTCTCAATGGCCTTCAAAATGAGAAGCAGAATTTTATAGTCAATCCAAGACTCAACAGGAAGCCAATGATGCTGCTGAAAAACGAAAGTGATGTGGCTGAAGGATGGGGTTCTGGTTATAATGTGTGCAGCAGAACACTGGGCCAACTCACATTAATGAAGCAATTTTTTGTTAGAAACCGGAGAGAAGTACTTCAACAGTAACGCAGATGCAAAGTGACCATGGTATGAACCTCATCAGCTGTATTTTCTGCTGTGTAGTATGAGGGTTGGCTGTTAGTGTTACAGAAATGGAACCATGCAGACTGAATTGTAGTATTGATTCACATTTGGAATGAAAGTGTGCTTATGATGATGACACCTATGGTAACCTGAGGGGAGGGGATTATTCTTGAATTACCAATAGTAATTGAGAAACTGTCACACTGTTAACTGGAAGTTGGAGGAGAACCAGAACTTGATTATTTGTGTGCAGTCGCAAAGAGAGGTTTGAGGCAGGGTAGAGATAGACTTTGTGGAAATGTACAAGCTGAGTGTCACCTGTGTAGCCGTTGAAATTTACATTGTTCTCGTTGAAGACGTGACCAAGGATAAAGAATGTAAATTGTGAATGAAAGAGGCTCCAGGACAGAGCCTTGGGGGACTCCAGGGGTGAAGTTGGAGCAGAACCAGAACTTGATTACTTGTATGCAGTCACAAAGGGAGGTGTGAGGCAGGGTAGAGATAGGCTTGGTGGAAATGTACAAGCTGGGTGTCATCTGTGTAGGAAATATAATTTACGTTGTTTTCACAGAAGATGTTGCCAAGGAGAAGGAAAGTAAATTGAGAATGAAATAGGCTTCAGCACAGAGCCTTGGGGGACTCCAGAGGTGACTGGAAGTGGCTCAAGCCTGAGGAGTCTGATGGGATATGGTTTAAACCAACTGCTATATTTTAATAGTGGTGTTATAAATGAAAGCTTATGTGAAAATAATTGCAATAGAATAATTTTGTTTTATTGAAATAATAAATTGAAGGAATTCTCCATGGGATTTTTTCTCTTTTTTACTGCATGTGAATTAATTCAATACCTCCCTGATGAGTATTATTCCTCTTCCAGCTCCTGGCCTTTCTTCAGGGTTTGTTTACGTTCTACCATGAAGGATATGAGCTGGCTCAGGAATTTGAGCCATACAAACAGCAACTCCAGTTCAACCTCCAGAATGTAAGTCTCAACACCTTAAGGGTTGCATACAGAGGCAACCAGCCACATAATCAGATTCTGCAGCTTATCATGCCTCGATATAACAAGCAGACTTTCTACAGTGCAGTTGCACAGAGGATAGATGTTTTCAGTGTAGTATTGCAGGCTGTTACTGCAGGCCATTCAATGGCACTGTGTCAAAAAACACTTAAGAGTGGAAAATAAAACTGCAGCCACTGCCATGCCCCTCGCTTCCATCACTGTGACCTCAATGCTTTCAGCCTGAGGGTCCAAATTTCTCTCTGACCCGAAATGTCAGTGGCATTGCTCTGACAATTTTCACTTCATAACCCTTCTCTCCGTGTTTCGATGCAGGGAGCACTAATAGGAGCTGGAAAAGGTGAGGCTGCCTCAGAACTCTGCTTTAAGATGTGAAACAGCCTTACGTTAACCTGTTTGACTCAACGTCTGAATCTGGGTTATAACTTTAGATCATGTTAAATGTTTTTATTACTCTTTTGTTTTGTTTTTGTATTTTTTTGTTGTTGTTTTTTTTTGGGGGGGGTGGCTAACAATATGTCATCAATAGGAAATTTAGGTGATAGGTTGGTTAATTTTTGAAAAGATGTTCTGTTAAATAGTTATCAATAATTACAATCTCATTAGCTTTGACACCAGCCGTAGGCATTGTTAATTTGTGAAATCAGCAATAAAAATAAAATTAAAATGTGTCATGCAAAAGTGTTGAGCTGGGGTGTCAAACTCATTTTCACTGAGGGCCACTTGAGCCTCATGGTAGCCCTCAAAGAGCCAGTTGTAAACAATTTTGATGTTTAACTTTGACTAATCATGAGACATCAAATTCCTTTTCTCACTGTTACGACTGAGTACCGCTAACAAACACTAACTGAGCTTTATGTGGTATTTTGTGCGTAGAAACAGGATTTTAACACTTCCACTTATAAGCACTGGAGAGTAATGTGTGTACAATGGACTAAATGTTAAATAAATAATAGAGAAATACTGTTAAAAGTGAAAGTAAGCAAGTTTTTCTCACTGTTGAGTTGTGGTAAATAGCTGCTGTCTTGAATTCTCAACCTGCTATCTGACATTATTCCCTCTTTCCAGTTTAAATTTATGACTTGTAAGTGGGAAATTCCTACTTCCCAGTACAACTGGGCCGTAGCTAAAGTAGCCATCAAAAATGCAGCTAAATAAAGAATTTACACTGTGAATTTTTATTTTTTTTTATTTTATTTAGAAATGTATTTGTTTCAGTTGTAACATAAAATAACAAAGAACAAAAAACATGCAATCAAAATAAAATCAAATAAAATGAAAGGCATAAGAATATAAGAGAAGAATAAATCTTATAATATCTGCCCCTTTTTTATACCCAAAATATGTTCAAAAGAAAAGTAAATTACAACAAAAAAATTAAAACAACTGAAAACACACAAAAAAACTAAAAACAAAATTTAAATTTTGCCATCTTCCAGCTGTTTTTACATCCTGTGCACCTCCACCTAGTGGTAGGATGTCGTCATTTATCAGGTAAAATAGTCAGTGTGCATTATGGTATTATTATGGTCAATGCTGGCTTTAAAGCAGCTTCTTTTGAGACATTAATACAGCTACTCAGTGCCACGACAAGTATTATTATTTTTCACCTTTTAAATGTGTTGCATTGAATCATAAATTTAAAGTTTACATGTGATTTATTATATATATATATATATATATACACACACACACACACACACACACACACACACACACACACACACACACACATAAATGTATGTATGTTTTTTGTGTTTAACGTTAAAGGGGGTTTTATGTATATTCTAGACACAAAGTTCAATTCTACACTACAGTCAAGAACTATGTTACCTTTTACTTGTTGTGAAAACCCTGTATATATATATATCAAAAATAAATTTGACTCTGCATCAGTCTATCTAAACGCCTTGAAATTGGAAGAAGCTACCATTTCTGACACTCCCACTTCAGCACGTCTTCACAACAATGCTTTGTGGGATGGGTGCACCGTGGGGCGGGAGTTTGGCTGCAGATGGAGCTCTGGGGCGGAGTTTTTGTGTAAATAGGCGGAGCTTTGTACCAGCAAGTGTTTCTTCAGCTCCACTGGCTACCACAGGAGATTCAAGGGTTTCTCAAACACACATGAATGAATCAAAGCAACATTCTAGGTATATTTTTAATGAGGAAATGCCATTATAACATTATATAAAGCTTAAAAAAGATTTAGCTAAATACCTCACCTTTAAAACATGAAAGATGCGATCCAAGTGTGCGTTTTAAAGACCACTCTCCCATTTCTTTACATCCCCTAGCAGCTCACCCACATCCTAGGCCGGAAATGCAAATCTCCTGCCTGCAGGTAGTGGTGGGGAAAAATGACAGGGCTCAAGCTTGCCTGTGATGAATCAGAGCACAGATAAGGTGCTTCATCCTTGTTCATTTGATATACCAAACCTCAGCCTAGAAATCAAATCAGCGGTTGTGTCTGAGGATTTGACTGAGTGCAGCTGGATGTTTGTGGGATCCTCTGTGCTTGAGATGAGATCCGTTTTTCCTCCAGCTACACTACCGGTGCTTTTTTTCCCTTACAAGAGTCAAGGATGTTTGTATGTTATACAGAAAGTAAGATCAATATCAGTCAGCTATAAAAAGCAACAACNGGGGTAGGCGGGGCCTCATCATTGGGCCAGATGTGGCCTGTGGGCCTTGAATTTGACACACGTGGTGTAGAGGTTTTATTATTAGCTAATGTAGATACTAACTCCTCTGTTTTACACACAGACACGAAACAACTTTGTGAGCACCAAGCAGGAAGTGGAGAAGCTGATGCAGAGGATAAGGTCTGCAGATCAGGACTATAAGCCCCCAGGCCAGTGGACGATGGAGGGCTTCCTGTACGTCCAGGAGAAACGTGAGTCTTCCTGTGGAAGTGCCCGCCCTCCCTCTCCCTCCTGCTTCAATTAGAGGTGCACAGTTTTACCTCCATCAACATAAACATGTCCTGAGCTCTCCCCAGCCTCTTCAGAAGAGATCTTCTCACACGAAGCTCATAGCTCTTCTTGTTTACAGATCGACTTTGATGTGCTCTGAAATGTGTTTGTGTGTACGGGGTGTTGCCAAGAATAATAGATTTTTATCGCCAGCTCCAAACAACTTTTGATTTATAACAGTTTAATTAGACATTGATTTTTAGAAGTCTTTCCAGGCACATTTTGATTGAGTGCAAAAAACAGTTTGAGCTCAACCTGTGTGCTCTCCCTCTGTTCTGTGTCCCAGGTCCTCTGGGATGCACTTGGACACGTCACTACTGCACGTACGAGAAAGGCAGCAAGACATTCACCATGAGCAACACCGAAAACAAGTCAGCTGGGAAACAGGTAACTCGGTTCAGTTTAGCTATCTTTGCTTGTAGATTCACATGATAAAAGCTGGGAGCTAAAATAAAAAAGGAAACAAAATAAAATAAGGAAAAGGAAAACGGAGCAAGTGGAATCTGTGTGGGTGAAACAAAAAGCCTGCTTGTTCCTCCCCCCGAGGGAGAGAAAGGAAAACCGTCAAAGTTACTGAAGTGGCACATAAAATAAATGGCTTGTTAACTTAAACAAGCTAAAAATAAGATTTGAATATATGACAAAATCTACAAAGAATAAAAATGAAAACTTAAACATTTTATTATGATTTGTAGATGATGAGCTGAATATACAATATCTGACACTTCAGATATAATTATCTCAGTTAATGTATAGCAGGGCTATTCAACATAAACTGTTCCGGGGGCCACAGTGACTGCAGGCCAACAGCACAGGGGCCGAACATCCAGCAATTAAAGTCATTATGTAAATAAACCAAGTATTATAAAGATCTGCTACCTTTTAAATAGTTTATTTTGCTGCATTTAATCATGAATACAACATACAGAACCCTATGTAATAAAAGTAGTGATAATAAAACAAAAACAAAAATAACACATTAGGCCTCCTGTTTAACATAATTATAGTTTTGACATCTCTGACTTGCCAAATTTTTAAACCAATTTTATTTTCACTTTCATAGTTTTATCTTGAACTGATTATAATTTTAACTGTCTTGGATGTTCATAGAAATGATTTTTACCAGCTTCTGGCCAAGATTCTAACGTTTCTGTAGATACTACCATATTTTTCGGACTATAAGCCGCACCCCCAACATAAAAAAAACAGTACACCCAAATTTGCCATCAAAAAAGTGAATTCAACATCAAAACAAAAAAGCAAACCTTTAGGAATTAAAGTTCGGAGGTATACGGTTCATATAACTGACCTTATTTTGGTAGTTTTCTTTAACAGTTTCCGGTCCAACAAAATGTCTCATTCATCATCCTCCGGTGCACTGAAACCATCGAAGTCCTCTTCAGTGTCGGAGTTAAACAAGCTGAGAAAAGCTGCGTCACACAGCGGTATCTGTTCAGTGTCGGAGTTAAACAAGCTGAGAAAAGCTGCGTCACACAGCGGTATCTGTTCAGTGTTGCTTTCTGTGTCGATGTCCTCCCGGGGTAATGCTGGCTCTGAAGCTGTGCTGGGAAAGCCCTCCCGCTCCAGCATACGTCACCGCATGGGATTCCTTCCCCGGGGAGTGCAATGAGGGAAAAAAAAGTCAGCAGCTCTTCACTCGACGTTTATCCACAAACTGGTCCTGGATTAAGCTCCAAARTTTTTATCAGTCAGATTCCATTGTGAAAAATGTCTGTTTTATCCCCTTTTATGAGTTTTTGGCCATTGACTATCTTTAAATCGCTGCTTCCTGGTACAACAGTCAGCTCTGGAAGCGATCGCTATTTTCTTTTTTTTTTCCTTTCTTTTTTGAAGTGAGTGGTTGAAGCAAATAGAGCATAAGAGCCCCCTGGTGGCTGAAGAAAAAAATCCACGTATAAGCCGCACCGGTCTATAAGCCGCATGGTTCAAAGTTCAGGAAAAAAGTCGCGGCTTATAGTCCGAAAAATACGGTACATGTCTATGTCTTAACTAAAAGAACTCATAGTAATTACAGTAGAAAACTGGGGGGTTGGATGAATGAATCAATTTGGTGGGCCGAACTTTGGTTACTTAGCCCGTGGGCTGCCAGATGAAAAGCCTTGATGTTCATTTATTATTATTATTATTCATAAGTGCTATAAAAATAAAGTTTTGATTGATTCATTCCTTTTGTGTAACAATCAAAATATTTACATTGATTTAAAAAAAAACCCATATGAATACATTGAAGATTTTTTTCATTGTTTCAAAAACATTGTTTTTTCTTATGCTACTTTTAGCTTTCAGCAACCATTTTTAGGATTTCGTAGACATTTTGCTCCATTTAGCTTATTTTGCTTGTTTTAGCCTCAATTCTGCCCGTTTTTAGCTTCTGTTTGCCAGGATTTTATTTTAAAGTGCCTGTGACACCAAATCTTTCTAATAAATATGAATGCATTTTGGGAAGAATAACACTGAAAATATATTGCAAATATTTCATGCTGCTGTGATGAAGAGTTGTTGAGATGTTTGCATGTGAAGAAACAGGAAGTGATGTCAAAGGGGAATGTCTGCATGTGAACAGAGCAGTGCTACAATGGCTAGCACAGACTGTAGAGAAAAATCTGATGTTTCTTTAGATTATTTTCAGTCTCTATCAGAGAGATGAAGAGTCAGAGTTCAAACAATATTGTTTCAATAAACAAAAACCAGGGAGTTCCATTCCTTAAAAAACTCCCCTTTGGCTGTGTCCAAAACGGCAGGCCGGGTCCTCCGAAGGCCGAATTTGTCGGCCGCATACGTCACAGCGCCACGACGAAGGCCGTCCAAAACCGAAGACTCCTCCGATGCGGCCGACAAATACGTCCTTCTTTTTCCCCGATTTGAAGGACTGGTCTGATGGATCCTTCCCGCCCCAGCGTATCCCACAATGCTTTGCGGCCCGACCGGAGATTTTTTTTTAAGCTAGTAATGGCGGACGAAGCAAGACAAAAGATTACGTTTTAAATAAAAAATATGGCGATATAAAAATTAAAATTTTTAGCGGTTGTAATTCTAATACTTTTATCATTTGTATCGACATGTTTTTGTCATAAAAAAAACGTGAAATAAACATGCACCTACAGCGGGTCAATTAGTTCTTCAAATGTTACCTTTAAGTTAATTTTATAGTTTTGTGATATTGATAATGCTAATGTATTGATATTTTTCTAGTTTTGATTTAAGTTTGCTTGTTTAGCRTCGTCACAGTTGCTAGGTGACATGACATAAGGACAGGACGCTAGACCGTCCAAATTCACAGCCTCTTTTTTTCCGGTCTTCCCGGTCTACCAAGGACCCGGCCCACCTCGATCGGGTAGTCTGGGTCCTCCGGAGGACCCGGCCTGTTGTTTTGGACACAGCCTTTGAGGTCACTTCCTGTTTCACTTTGTTTGAGCCAAGTTTAAAATAAAGTCTGCCAGTTGTGTGATAAAATGGGTAAAATCACTTGTATTATTCCAAGTTACTTAAATATAAAAATGTTTTCTTTGACTTTTTGTGTTTGAAGGATGTGTGTGTGTCACAGGCACTTTAACAACTTCCTGTCAGCTATTTCAGCCAACTCCAGCAAGGTCATTCAACACTCAGAATACTGTTTTTTCCACTTCTTTGACCACTAAAGATTTGGTTCTATTTGCACAAAACTTAGGATAAAAACCTGACCACATTATCCCCATTGTCTATATTGTGTTGTGGTAAATGATTGATGAGGGTTGTGGGCTTTTTTTTTCTTTTGTCTGTTTTGTGTCTCTGTGTGTATCTCTGCCCGTGTTTCTGTTTTTAGAATGGCCTTGTCCTGAGTCAGCCAGAGATTTTCAAGCTCAAGTCCTGCATTCGAAGGAAGACAGACTCCATCGACAAGCGTTTCTGCTTTGACATTGAAGTGGCTGGGAGGTCCGTGATACAAATCCACAAAAACGCATTTTGTATAGATTACGTTCATACGCATATTGTGGTTTATAATGCTTTGTCCATCACAATTCTGCTTATTTTCCTGTTTGATCTTGATAAACTATGTAATATGCAATAATAATAGTATTTACATAGTAATAACTCTGTTATTAGCATCTTTGTAAGGCTCCAGGATTGATTTTTTTCCACAAATACAACTAACTCTCTAAGAGCGGCGAGCTGCATGTAGAATGTTTTGTTCTCGTGCGTTTTGTGTTTCTTTTTAACGCGTACACCACATTTGAGCGTGCAAGAGAAGTTCAGGTTGGATTAACATCTTCAAAGACTTCAATTAGGCAGCGTTAGAAGTCTCGAGCTGTTTGTGTCCTGCATGTTCCTCCTGTCCCCCCTCCCCCGTCAACAAGCTCCTGTTTGCTGAATGTCTGCAACATCAATATTTATTCTATTTTTTTTTCCTTTGGAAGCCATCCCATCTTCTCTCTTGTGTTCATGTCATTGTAGAAATGACATCTGTCGTGGAACTCTTTTCAGGCCGCTTCAGTTTTTCTGTAAAGTCCGGTATGTGAACTGATCAGTGCTGTCCTCTCTGAGCAGCTGCATGTTCTGCATGTGTGCACCCAGCCTTACATTCAAATCTAATTATGGCTGTTTCCCTCTCTTACCACCTCACAAAAACTTAATCAATATGAGCTTAAAGATAATGGCATTTAACTGCGATTTGATTTATCGCATTGGCTCTTTTTAAAAGCTTCAAATCGATTTGATTCATGAAAAGATCCAGGATTTGTTTGTGTTTATGTGTCAAATCTTGAATCCTATCACCCGTACGCTTTACTGTAAAATACAATAAGATTTACACAAGATCACAAACCTGCAAGAAGCTCTCTCTGATGAGTAACACGACCTCAGCTGACTAAGCTGTCCATTATGAAGGCTTGATGTGAGCTAAGCACCAAGATCTATACTGCAAATTATAAAGCCTGCAAGATTGTGAGGCTAATTACCGGACAGCAGCATTAAGCCCTGCTCCGCTCGTCCCCGGTGAGCGCCGCTGAGCGTGGACAGCCACTGCAGTTTGTTTGCAGGGCAACTCAGTCTTCCACTGCAATGCCCCCCGAGGTGCAAGCGTTAAAAACAATGCCGGCCAGGCTCCAGTCAGATCCCAGCTCCTCCATTCATCCTCATTAGAACGCAAACGCGCTGTCCCGCCTTTGGCCCACCCATGATTGAGCCTGTCAGCTCATTCTCACAGGGTCCTTTCGCTGGATTTACCCACATTTTGAGATGGTCCAAAACTGAAAGTCCATGCAGCTTCTGATTCTTGGTGCAACTCAAAGAATGTATCTTCAGATGTGGCAGCATCACTACTTCCTTCCTAATTTCTTTAGAGCTCAAAGTGTGTGTCGTGGATAACTCACAGCTACTACCTTATATTTTTATCTTTATAATGCTAACATACAAATCCTTCACTCCAACAGTTAGTGCCATCGTTGGAGGTAACTCTCAGCTACTCTCTTACTAAATTATAGTCCAGTGTCTGTAAAATTTACTGAGTTACAGCTTTTATTGTGCTTGCCAAAGAGAATTAGTTGTGGCGACCATACTCTGGAAGTTAATCAGTTTTAGATGTCCATAAAATAATTATTTTTTGAGAGCTTTGTTAAAATTATTCAAGTGATTCGTGAGATATTTTGCTACCAGACATACACAGGTGATTACATGATTGTATGCTTTTTGGGGCAGGATAGAATAGTCAGGTCATAATATGTATAGATAGATAGATAGATAGATAGATAGATAGATAGATAGATAGATAGATAGATAGATAGATAG